TTTTTTAAGAACGTACTCTTGAAAATTTGTGAGAATCTTTTGTTGATTCCTTGATTCTTCAAAAATGCTGAAAGTGAAGATTATAGACCTACTTTTATGCATCAAGTGGGAAAGGTTGGAATCAAGTTAAAGTTAGAAACTCCCCAGGATAAATTATTGAGGCAATCATTTGTGGGAAAATCTCTCCCAAAAGCAAGCCAATCGGCTAGGAGAAAAAGTTTCTCTAAGAGTCGTGTTCTTCATTTTCTTGCTAAATCAAATTCTTAATTTGGTTTACTCGTATGTCTGGACTCAAAGCCATTTAATTCTTCAAACTCAAGACTAAGAGATTGAACCAAATTCCAGAAACTTATCACATTAAGAGTATAATTTGATCTGTTCTCTTTAATTATTTAAATATGGCTATAACTAGATTATTCTCAAAGTCCTAGCTGCATAGTGACAAATAGTATTTAAAGAGAGTCTCTCCCTTGGGGTGGTCAGCCATGTTGTTGTACAATTCTCAACATACCCCTCTTGCGTGGACCATTTAATTCTTCAAATTCAAGACTAAGAGATTGAATCAAATTCCAGAAACTTATCACATTAAGAGTATAATTTGATCTGTTCTCTTTAATTATTTAAACATGGCTATTACTAGATTATTCTCAAAATCCTAGTTCCATAGTGACAAACAGTATTTAAAGAGACCCTTGGGGTGGTCAGCCATGTTGTTGTACAATTCTCAACATACCCCTCTTGTAAAGCTTTTGTACATGGGCAGCACTCCCTTGGTGCCACCTCTTAATATATTTTCTCTCTTTTATTTAAAAAGAAAAATTAATTCTATATTTTAGGTTATGTCTAGTTAAGGAATATTGGGTCCAAGTGATTGAAGACACTATATCATTCTCTGGGCTTGTCTTAAAAGGGTCTAGTCCACTTAAATAATTTTAATGTAAGACCCAAATCTAATCAGATAACTTTTACTTAATTTTTCAGCATATCTTCTTTAATCATATTGTTTCATCTTGAAAATTAATTAATCATATCATTAATTGCAAGATTCTTCTTGATACAATATTCCAAAATTTCTCCATTTCATAATTAGGATGAATTCTATAAGATTAAAGAGTATGGAAGTTAGACAAAAAGAGGGGCTTCTCTGTATAATCATACCATGAATTTCTTACTATGAGAGAGAACAACAACCAAACAGCCCCTTTCAAGCAAATATGAAAATCTAAAGCACCTCCTAGAATTTGTTTTTTTGCTTGGGAAGCGGCTAAAGAGCGGATTTTAATAATTGACATGCTTAGAAGAACAGAGAATGTGCTGATAAACAGGTGTTATTAGTTATGGCGGGTAGTGTAAGTAATGAATTTTGTGCTTAGGAGGGTTTGTGTATAAAAAAAGGGAAGCATTTATTTCTTGTACTACTTACTATTTTTTGGGTGATTTGGAAAGAAAGAAATGCTAGGGCTTTTGAGGCGGTAGAGACTAACCTTGATAACATTAGAGATAGATGGATTCGCACATTTGGATCTATTTTGCTGGGTTATGATATTAAAGATCGGGATGATATGGGTGTAGTCATTGACCAATTGGTAGACTTGTAACTATTTTGTATACAGGTGGTACCCCTTTGCTACTTTGTGCGTAATAATACTTTGCTTTTATTTCAAAAAAAAGTGTATGATCCATATTCAATCATCTAGCTGACATTAGGTTTATCAATCAACTTTTTTGATGTCAACATGATTATATTGATCCATGAGTTACGTCTGGCAATATATCATAGCCCTTAGAAGATTTGAAATGGTATGGTAGAAAAAGTACTTCTCCATAATAATTTCTGTGCAGATACATTCCTTCCAGCTCCTTTATCTTAGAAGGACATAGATGTACAGTGTCAAAACCTAATGGTCAATCTATATGATAATATGTTATTTAGATCAATTTATTCTTTGAAACTCCTGCTTCAATTTAGCATGGCTGTGTATTTCTTGAATTCTCTAGAAGATTCTACTGGAGGATAATATTCTGAGAAACTACTGCTCGTATGATTCTATTTCAAATTCCCAATGACTATTCTGATTAAGGCCTTTGCAAGTGATCCAAAACTTCATAGTACCAAACATGACTCTTTTGTATAAGTCAACTGTGGTAGAGTTGAGTCAAAGAAATAATTTCTATATGACTATTTATAATTAGATTCTTGTCATGTAGTAAATATTTGAAGAAGCTAGTATTCGAGTTAGTCCAGTGAACTTGTTCGTGAAGCAAACATATATACAACTACAATCATGTCATCCATGGTAATGTTTAATGTGAATACACACTCCCTGATAATATGACGTTTTTTTAGAGAAAAGTATGAAATGTATTGATGTGGGAGCCAAGGGGGCGCTGCCCATGGACAAAATGTGAATTTACAAATCAGTAAGAATATATACAATGACACCAAATTCATCCAAACTATCAAGGTTGTGCCCCAAAATAATGGAACCGAAGAGATGTAACCATTTATTCTTGATGTTGGCAAAATTCCTTTCAAGACTCAAAAACTCTTGTTTCTTTCTTTTCATTCAACCCAGAAAATTGATAGCGGTATTAGGCTGTAATGTTTGTTCAACGCAGCAATACCCTCCCAAGCAAGGAGCTCAGCCTTCACAGAACCAGCAATAACCCATTGAATCCCCATAAGGCTGAAGATATCATTCCAGAGTCCATAGGTGATAGGACACCATAGTAATAGGTGTCTACATGTTTCTGAGCTGACTTTGCATAGTGTACATCTGTTGGCCAAGTGAAAACCTCTCTTCATTAGATTGTCTAAAGTCAAAATGCGTTCCTTGGCTGCTTCTCAAGCGAAGAAAGAAATTCTGGGTGGTGCTGCGGTCTTCCAAATCATTTTATAGGGGAAAAGAGTTTGATTTTCAGCAGAGAAATCCTCCAGATACTTATACATAGAAGTGACAGAAAAAGTACTTTTTTGTTCAGCTTCTCGTTGAGTCTATCATCTCTGTTGCGCAATTGAATGGTGCTAAGGATCTGATTTAATTCCATGTATTCCTCTAATCCCCTGTCTTGTAAATTACGACTAACCACCACATTCCCGGTAAAGGATAGATTCCCCTCAAAGGCGCTCTCGACCAGCGGATATTTATCTCTTGCAATAGCAAAGATGCTAGGAAAATGGGTTTGGAAGTTGGTATTTCCAAACCATGTATCTTGCCAGAATCGGACTTTGTTTCCTCTGCCAATGACCCAAGTAGAGCAGTTCTCAATGATGTGGCTGTATTGCATGAAGTTTTTCCATATACTCCTTCCAAAAGGCTGTTTTCTTATTTGGTCAGGTTATGTAGGCCGTTACTGAACCACTTACATTCAATAATGTTTTTCCAGAGGATGTTTTTGTCATTCCAGAATTTCCAGACCCATTTGCCATGAAGAGCTTTATTAAGAGCTAAGAGATATCTGAGGCCCAGTCCACCTATCTTGTTAGGCTGTTTAACTTCATCCCAATTTACCAGATGGTATTTATGACTATTGTCAGTATCGCCTCAAAGAAAACGCCTTTGGATAGCTTCCAGTTTTTTTTCCACATTGACCGGAATTTTGAGCACTGAGAGATAGTAGATGGGAAGATTGGAGAGAGTGCTTTGAATGAGAGTCAGCCTACCTCCTTTGGAAAGAAATTTCCTTTTCCAGTTGGTCAGTTTGTTGTGGAAGATGGCAATGATTGGCTCCTAGCAGCTGCTGTCTTTGTGCTTAATTTCGAGGGGTGTACCCATGTATTTAATGGGCAAGTTAGTAGCTTTACATCCCAACACCAAGGCAAACGATGGCTCTGGACAATCATGACCAAATTCCGCAAGTTCAGATTTATCATAGTTAATTCTCAAGCTGGAGACAGCTTCGAAACAGAGGAGGATACATCTCAGACTTAAAATTGAGTTGATGTCAGGTTGACAAAAAAATAGTGTCATCGGCAAAGAAGAGGTGCAAAATTTCAATTTGGTTGAATATGATATTTCGTACTAGTCTATCCTGATACAATGTCCATTATAATCTGTAGTCACATTAATGTTATGACAGATTTTATAAATAGTATTTAGAAGAAAGTTTCATTATTATAAACTCATCATAATCATACTTTTATTGTAAAGCTTATGGGACATTTATCATTTTATGAATTTGAACATTGACATGTAGCTGCAAATGATAAAGTTGAATAAATCTACTTTTTTATCATTGTGAAATAATAATTGTGATAACTTTGTAATTAATTATTATATAACATTTTAGTTGTATCTCATACAATTAACTTGTCAGACAAACTATTAGTACCAGATATCCCATAGAAATAACTGAATCTCATTCAGAAGCACTATGTGGTATCTCCTTTATATCTAGCAATACCGAACGGATTTGAAACAAGCAGAAAGAGGAGCCTCCCCCGGAGTTCTTCTAAAACCTCATTGCTCGTCTAGGCTGCACTCTAAACTGGATGCATCTAAAATTATCCTCCTTGCCAACTCTGATCCACTTCCATAAGCCTGAACCACGGCTCCTTACTGGCCCTGTACATTGTGTGCTTTGTAGCATTTGTGAGTTGAACTTTTCCAGAGATTTTTAGATGGTACCATGCTTTTTTGCAGAACGAGGAGTTCTGAGCTCATACATTAATAGATGTGGTACTTTTGGCATAGAGAAGGTGTTCCTGTATTTTTGGATTTTTCCTTCATCCACTGTATGAAAGAAAAACCTTAGTTGTAGAATTCAAGTTCCTCATAGTGAAAACTTCACATGTTGATCCACGGATGTACTCATGTGGGATCATATTAAATTCTGTCTTGTCTTTCTTTTCTCCCACACGTTAATTGCTTTGTGCTGCACATGTATATCCAGTACAGCACACGATAAATAGTACCATCTTGGCAAACTTTTTAACTTCCACAACTGTTCAAAGAACTCTGAGTTAAAAGTATCCCATTCTTACTGGGGTACTCATGTTGGAAGTTGCAAATTTCCAAGTTGGTGAGTGTACATCCAACTAGTCCTTTCTTTATGGAGTATATTATATTATTAGAGATGAAAGGTGCTTTTTGATAATATCTTTATGTTACTTGATATGACATGGAGCAACTGTTTGTTCTATGCCTATTGAATGTGCTGTCTTTCTTCTGTTCCGAGTTTCTTGCAGTTGTCAATGGTCATATAAAGCGACCTCATGATGAAGACATTCAATCCAATGTACTTGAAATAGTTGGATCCAATATTCAGTCTACATACATTACATGTCCTGCTGATCCATCCGCAACTCTTGGTATAAAACTCCCATTTTTGGTCATGATAGTGAAGAATCTGGCAAAATATTTCACATTTGAGGTTCAGATTCTGGATGATAAGAACGTGCGACGGCGTTTTCGCGCTTCTAACTTTCAAGTCTGTAAGTTTGACCATGTTTCTTTGGTATTTATCCTTAATTCTTGAGTTGTATTTTTATTTTGATTTCTTGCATATGTCCCCTTGGAAGTTTGTAAATGGTAAGTGAGGAATATGTTCTTTTGCGTATGGTTTATGCCTGTTCCCTAGGAATGAATTATCACATTGCTGGTTTCATTGTGACTTCTAATTGATTGAGCATTAAAGACCATTTGTTTTCATGCCTAGGATCTTAAGGCACTCTGTCCTTTTTGGGCATTAGCTATGAATATTTTTATGCATGTAACTTGTAGCTATCAGACTAGATCTGATTACAAAATGGAAAAGTCTGTGCTCTGTTTTCCAGGTTATAATGTTGCATAGATTCATCTTTTTTGTTGGCTCACTTATTCTTTATTTTTCTCTGAGGAACACATTTATTTTCAAGTAAGTCAGATTTTATTTTTCAAAATAAATGATCAAGTTCAAAGTTAGTCTCCTTATCTGTTGTGGTGAAAGTCGCATGACTTTGGCTGGTGCTTCAACATGGACAAATCACAGCCTGGATTGATTGCCTACCACCCTTGTTAGAGTCATTTCTCATCAAATGTTGGGTGTGTTTGATAAGTGAGATACAATGTGAATTTCTACAAAACTTGCTCTATCCACAAGAATTGGTTTCCATACCTAATTTTGAAGAAAATATATACCGCTATTTGCCTGAGCTCATAGTTAATTTAAGCAAAAAACCATTAGGTAAGCCTAAACAGATGAGATGAGATGATATCAAGTTGGCAAGCTTTGGTTTACTTTGTCAGAAAAACTAAGGATGTAGGCTGCTATTGGAGAATTCTGTGATGAATCGGAAGAAGTGGCTGAGAAGATAATGAGAAGGGAGTCAAATTTATTTTATTTATTGTTGTTTAATGTTGCAAATTTGTCAATGTTTTTATGCATCCTTTTAGAGGGTACCATAGATGGTGATTACCTTCTTCTTCAGGAAATTGCAGAATAGCTTAACACTTAATGGTAACATCACCAGATGACATATTGACTTGATTGGTGCACAGTTAGTTCCTGCCCTCACTGAAAAATAAACAACTGAGGGAAGATAAGGGTGAGGATACACCACTTACATGTCTTTTTGCTCACATTTTACGTATTAGCCAGTGCTCCCTTATTGATCACTGCTCATGAGAATCATATTTCTTGGAGACCCTGCCTTCTTAGAAATTTGAATTACTAAGAAACTCTTCATCTTATTTCTGTGGTAGCTTCGCTGGAACCTTTTCGAGCTACATCTATTCCTGATTATGGAATTTGGTACCTTGATTCTTCAGAGGCTTGTACTTGTAAATCCTTCTTTGGTTGTCTTAGTGCAATCACATAACAGTTCTTCTGTCTACCTTTTAGAAATTGAAAGTCCCCTCTAAATTGAGTTTTTATTTGGGCAGTAGACTTCATACATTTAATACAAAAAATTTGCTTCAGGTAGGAACTGAAAAGAGTTTGGGAGCAGACCAACCTCCTGGTCCCAGACCCTGACTTTCCAATGTTTCTCCCGAGCTTGACCCTGATTCACCAACAGGGATTTTCTCCTTACCTGTATGTCCCATATACTAATGGGGATTCTTTGCTAATAAATGAATTTTTTTTTTCTCAGTTCTTTCTTTGATTGTTTACATTCTAAATTAACTTAATCACATAGAAATGATGAATTAATATTATTAGATACAGAAAATTGAACGAGCCAATTTTAAAGAAATAATTTTGATTTTATATTCTCAATCCACAACAAGAAGAAAGTAGGAAGTAAGGAAAACATTACAAAGAAGGCAAACATTTATATCAAGATAGAGAACAGAGCTCCATCTTTTAGATCTGTTGTGCCTTTCACCAACGACATCAATTTTTACCAGATCTAGCGACATTAAAACTAGCAGAAAGACACAATATGTTTTTCTCTAAGAAAAAAGCAGATCTGTTTGTTTTTGCTAGATCCAGGTAGAGCAGCGCCAGTGATGGTAGTGTTTGGGATTAACAGCTGATGATTAGTTCTGCACTTGTTCATTGAACAAAGCTTGAAGATGGGACTCACTTGTTTGCAAAAAGTAGTGTTGCTAATGGAAGCTTGGTTGTTAGTTTTCTTGTACTCGTATGACTGAGATATTCCATGGTTGAATTTGAAGCTGATGAAGAGGGGAAGAAGTGATGCAGGATATCATGAAGAGTTGGCTGTGCTGAAGAAGAGGCGGCAGCCAGCAAGTTGAATCGGAAGAAGAAAAATAACATACCGAAGAAGAAGAAAGCTTGAAGAAGAAGGGGAAGAAGAAGGAAAAAATTGACCAGATGTGTCTGCAGTATATTTATGGTTGGGGCTGGGGTTAAGGGAGAAGGTGGTGAAGGTTAGAAGTGTCTAGAGAGAATGCTTTAGTGTTAAATTTGAGTTTTTAACTTGCATGTATGTATATAGACATATATTTACTGTAGTGACTCCATAAATATAAAAAATGTTATATATGGTATACTATTTAAAATATCATTTTATTTACTGGGGTCAGGGATGGGGCAGGGTGGGGAGTCCTACCCAAATCCCAATTTGGAACAGATCTGAGAATTTTTCTGTCTCATTTAAGAACAATTTGACCAACCCTTATTGGGAAGATTTCATCAAGTACCCGATGGGGTGGGGCTAAATTGCCATCCCTAGCTGCCAAGGTGCACCCCCTATATTGCTCTTTCCTCTAATGTCTGCTTCACTTGCTTTAATAGTTCAAACAGTCACTTGTTTTCCGTTGGGAAATAGCTCGGAAGGGTCAGAATGGATTTCTCTTTTGGAGATAGCTCGGAAGGTTCGGAGTGAATTTTCTCTTTCTTTGACCTGGGTTGGTTCGTTCCAACAATTTGGAGAATTTCATTTCAACTTTGTATGGCTTGGGAGGAGTAAGGAACATTTTCTTTTTGGGGGTTAGGGGCTTTATTTGCTTGGATTATGGGTGCTTTGTTGGAGAGAAACACGAGAGTTTTCAATCAGTGCCCTTGTTCTGTTAATGACATTCTTGAGAGGACTGCGTGCATTGCTTTTCTTTGGGCAAAAAGTGCACAGTTTCTTTGGTGGTTTCCCCTTTCCATGCTACAAAAGGATTTGGGTGGCAATCTTGTATTGGCACATTTGTTTATTCTCTTGTTATATTTTGTATGTTTCTCTTCTTTGGATGGTAGATTATTCTCCTATTTATTGTATTTCCTATTTTTTCATAAAAATATTTTCTATAAAGAACAATATTGAGCACCTATGTAATTCCTTTAATGAAAAATAAATCAATTAATTGTAGGCTGTCACTCGAGCTAAGCCATATATATGTACCATGCCATTGAGGATGGATGAAGGTTGGAATCAAATCCAGTTGAATCTGTCTGATTTTACTAGAAGGGCATATGGAACCAACTACGTCGAGACATTGCGAGTTCAGGTTCATGCAAACTGCCGCCTGAGAAGAATTTATTTCTCAGAACGTCTATACTCAGAGGAGGAACTCCCCCCTGAATTTAAGCTCTACCTTCCAGTGCAGGTAAGAGTGATGACTCAGTCAAGTTAAAATTTGTTGCTAGATATTTCCATCTTGCATGACAAGCTAATTCTCGTTTTATCCAATCTTTTGATTGCAGAAAGCATGACGAATTTCACTATATGAGGATTGTTGTTATAATTCTGTACTTCAGGAAAATCTTGGATTCGTGTCTTTTATATTCTCTGTCAGTTAAACATTTCCATTTGAGTCGTTTTGTAGGACCATGTAGTATTCTAATGTCATGAGATGGAATTTCTTGAACCTAAGTTCTTTTTGGTAGTGGTAAAGTTGAAATCACTTTCTCTCCAGTCGGAAACTGGTGGGAGTGATGACCACTTGGCCAAGAGGCCAGGATTGAAATTATGTGTTAGCTAACTGTTTATATGAATCTTTGAATGGTTTGGCCAAGATTCAAGATGGCTAATGACCATGATTTTCTGATTGCCTATGGTCTCAGAGTTCATTCGGTTCATTATCAAACTTTTGGCACCTTGCTGAGAACATTCTTGCCATACACAAGTTATGTTTTGAGTAATAAAGTCAGATGAAAATTGGCCCTCTTCAAAGTTAATGTAGTTTGACAGCAGAGAAAATACAAGGAAAAACGAATGTTTGTTGGTGCCTTTGGATTGATATAAAATAATCACGATACAATTATGGTAAAATAGTATGCTTGAAGTTGGTAGAATCGTAGATCCTAGAAGTAGTGACTGCATAGCTGGATTTGCCTTTTCTAAGGAACTTGTGTCATGTTGGGAAAGGAAATTAATAGGAACTCCAACCTCTAAATCCTACCTACATATGGGATACTTTAGCACTAGTGTCAGTAATTAAGAGACATGAGTATTCCTAGATCCAACCATTTGAAGTATATTAAACAAATGGACATGCTCTATATAGAATATGGATATGCTGTCAGGTTCGTCATCCCATTCCCAGGAACAATGTCTCAGTAAGAATTTGAATCTTCAAGCTACAACCTTCCAAGCGGCAATTGGTACCTTAAAGATGCCCTTATAATAAGGAATCCTAAAAGCAGCATCAGGTAATCATAGACAAAGACAGATGGCAGTCTAAGGTGCATGCATACGCAAACAAGCAGAATAAAAGAAATATAAAAGTAGAAGGGGAAAAAAAAAAAAAAAAAGAAAGAGAAAATGCACTTAATCAAACGCATACTTTGATTCTTAAAAAATAACATATAAACTCCACATTATATATATATATTTATCCTGTATATACATATCTAACATTTGTCATGTTAATAGAGATAAATGTCGAATCTACACATATTTTGTCAAGAATCTAAGAGAGTGTCTGTAGTTTTT